ACAACAATGTTGAAATTTGGCCAACTAATAACCCTACAATGACCTCTAGGTGTTCAAGTGAAAGGAAGAGTCACCTGTCTCTCACTTTAAATAAAAAACTAGAAATGATTAAGCTTGGTGAGGAAAGCATGTCAAAAGCTGAGACAGGCTGAAAGCTAAGGCCTCTTGTGCCTGTTAGCCAAACTGTGAATGCAAAGAAAAGTTCTTGAAGGAAATTAAAAGTAAGTTAAGTATGCTACTCCAGTAAGCATACAACTGGTAAGAAAGTGAAACAGTCTTATTGCTGATAATGGAGAATGTTTTAGCGCTCTGGATAAAAGATCAAACCAGCTACAACATTCCCTTAAGCCAAAACCTAATCCAGATCAAGGACCTAACTCTCTTCAGTTCTCTGAAGGCTGAGAGAGGTGAGGAAGTTGCAGAAGAAAAGTATGAACATAGCCGAGGTTGACTGATGAGGTTTAAGGAACCATCTTCATAATATGAAGGTGCAAAGTGAAACAACTGCTTATGTAGAAGCTGCAGCAAGTTATCCAGAAGATCTAGCTCAGATCATTAATGAAGGTGGCTATGCTAAGCAACAGATTTTCAGTGTAGATGAAGCAGCCTTATGTTAGAAGAAGATGGCATTTAGGACTTTCATAGCTAGAGAAGAAAAGTTAATGATTGGTTTCCAAGGTTCAAAGGCCAAGTTGACTCTCTTGCTAAGGGCTAATGCAGCTGGTGACTTAAAGTTGAAGCCAATCTTCATTTACCATTCTGAAAATCCTAGGATCCTTAATAATTATGTTAAATCTACTCTGCCTGTGTTCCATAAACAGAGCCTGGATGACAGTACATCTGTTGACAATATAGTTTACTGAATATTTTAAGCCCACTCTTGAGACCTACTGCTCAGAAAAAGATTCCTTTCAAAATATCATTGACAATGCACCTGGTCACCCAAGGACTCTGACGGAGATATACAATGAGATTCACATTGTTTTCATGCCTGCTAACACAACATCCCTTTTGCAGCTCATGGATCAAAGAGTAATTTCAATTTTCAAGTCTTACCGGTTAAGAAATACATTTCATAAAGCTATAGCTGCCATAGGTAGTGAGTCTTCTGATGGATCTGGGCAAAGTAAATTGAAAACTCTCTGGAAAAGGCAAAAAAATGGACAACCTAGAAGAAATGGACAAATTTCTAGAAACATGCAGTCCACTAAAACTCAATCAAGAAGAAATAGATAATCTGAACAGATTGATCACTAGAAGTGAAACAGAATCAGTAATTAAAAAAAAACCTCCCTGCAAACAATAGTCCAGGACCAAATAGCTTCACAGGGGAATTCTATCAAACATACAAAGAAGAACTTATACTGATCCCTCTCAAACTCTTCCAAAAGACTAAAGAGGAGCGAACACTTCCAAACTCATTCTATGAAGCCACCATCACCCTGGTACCAAAACCTAACAAAGACACTACCAAAAAAGAAAATTATAGCCCAATATCACTTGTGAACATAGATGCAAAAACTCTCAACAAAATATTAGCAAACAGAATCTAACAACACATGAAAAAAGAACCATAAGCTATGATCAAGTTGGATTTATCCCAGGGACAGAAGGATGGTTCAACATAGGCAAGTCAACCAATGTGATACACTACATCAACAAAAGAAAGGACAAAAATCACATGATTATCTCAATAAATATAGAAAAAACATTTGATAAAATTCAACATCCATTTATGATGAAAAACTCTTACCAAAGTGCGTATAGAGGGAACATATCTCAACATAATAAAAGCTATTTATGACAAACCCACAGCCAACATAATACTCAACGGTGAAAAGTTGAAAGCCTTCCTGCTAAAATCTGGGACAAGATGAGGATGCCCACTCTCACCACTTCTATTCAGTATAGTATTGGAAGTCCTAGTCATAGCAATCAAACAAGAAAAAGAAATAAAATGGATCCAGATAGAAAGAGAAGAGGTAAAATTGTCACTATATGCAGATGACATGTTACTATATATAGAAAACCTTAAAGACTACACAAAAACTACTAGAGCTGATAAACGAATTCAGCAAGGTAGAAGGACACAAGATTAACTTACAGAAATCTGTTTCATTTCTTTACACAAACAATGAAAGATCAGAAAAGTAAAGTAAAAAAAAAATCTCTTTTAAAATTGCACCCCCCCAAAAAAAACTACTTAGGAATAAATCTGACCAAGGAGGTAAAAAGACTTATATGTGGAGAACTATAAAACATTGATTAAAGAAATTAAAGATGACTTACAGAAATGAAAAATATCCCATGCTTTGGATTAGAAGAATTAACATTGTTAAAATGGCCATACTATGCAAAGCAATCGACAGATTTAATGCAATCCCTATCAAATTATCCGTAACATTTTTTACAGAACTAGAACAAATAATCCTAAAATTTATATGGGGTCACAAAAGACCCAGAATTGCCGAAGAAATTGCCAATGCTGAAGAAAAAGAATGAAGCTGGAGGAATAACACTCCTAGATTTCAGACAATACTACAGAGCTACAGTAATTAAAACAGCATGGGATTGGCGCAAATACAGACATATGAATCAATGGATCAAAAATAGAGTCCAGAAATAAATCCATACACCTATGGTCAACTAATCTTTGACAAAGGAGGCAAGAATATATAATGGAGAAAAGACAATCTCTTCAACAAATAGTGTTGGAAAAGCTGCACAGCCACATGTAAACCAATAAAATTAGAACAATCCTTCACACCACACACAAAAATAACCTTAAAATGGCTTGAAGACTTAAACATAAGACAAGACACCATAAACCTCCTAGAAGAGAACATAGGCAAAACATTTTTTGACATAAAGCTTAGCAGTGTTCTCATAAGGCAGTCTATAGAGGCAATAGAAACAAAAGCAAAAATAAAGAAATGGGACCTAATTAAATTTATAAACATAAACCATAAACAAAATGAAAAGACAATCTATGGAATGAGAGAAAATATTTACAAATGATAAGACTGACAATGGCTTAATTTCCAGAATATACAAACAGCTCATGCAACTCAAAAAAAAAAAGAAACCAAAACAAAAAACCCAATCCAAAAATGGGCAGAAGACCTAAACAAACATTTCTCCACTAAAGACATACAAATGGCCAACAGGCATATGAAAAAATGGACAATATTGCTAATTATCAGAGAAATACAAATCAAAAGTACAATGGGGTATCACCTCACATCAGTCAGAATGGCCGTCATTAAAAAGTCCACAAACGATAAATGGAGAGGCTGTGGAGAAAAGGGAACCCTCCTATGCTGTTGGTGGGAATGTAGTTTGATGCAGCCATTATGGTAAAAAGTATGAAGCATCATTAAAAAACTGAAAAGAGGGTTTTTTTTAAATTGAAGTATAGTTGGTTTACAATGTTGTGTTAATCAGCATAGTGATTCAGTTATATATATATATATATATTCCTTTTCATATTCTTTTTCATTATAGGCTATTATAAGATATTGAATATAGTTGCCTGTGCTGTATATCCCACCATAGACTTACCCCATGATCCAGCAATTCCACTCCTGGGCATATATCCAAAGGAAACTCTAATTCAAAATGATACGTGCATGTTCACAGCAGCACTATTCACAATAGCCAAGACATGGAAGCAACCTAAATGTCCACTGACAGATGATTGGATAAAGAAGTTGTGGTATATATATACAATGGAATACTACTAAGCCATAAAAATAATGCCATTTGCAGCAACATGGATGGGCCTGAAGATTGTCATACTAAGTGAAGTAAGCCAGAAAGAGAAAAACATCATATAATAGCTTACATGTGGAATTTTTAAAAAGGGCACAAATGAACTTATTTACAAAACAGAAACAGACTAAGACACAGAAATTTTCAGAAATTCATAGACATTAGATGTATTTTTGCTATAGCTACCAGAAAGGAGAGGAGAGGGTGGAGGGATAAACTGGGAGTTCAAGATTTGCAGATACTAACTGCTATATAGAAAATAGAAAAATAACAAGGTCATACTGCATAGCACAGGGAACTATATTCAATATCTTGTAATAGCCTATAGTGAAAAAGAATATGAGAAGGAATATATATATATATATATTTATAAATGAATCACTATGCTATATACCAGAAATTAACACGACATTGTAAATTGTTTATACTTCAATTTAAAAAAAACCCTCTAGAAAAAATTCACCATTCTAGATGCCATTAAGAACATTCATGATTCATAGGAAGAGGCCAAAATATCAACATACACAGGAGTTTGGAAGAAGTTGATTCCAATCCGCATAGATGACTTTGAGGGATTCAAAACTTCAGTGGAGGAAATATATGCAGATGTGGTGGAAGCAGCAGGAGAACTAGAATTAGAAGCAGAGCTTGAAGATGTGACTGAATAGCTGCAGTCTCATGAAATTTAACAGATGAGAAGTTGGTTCTTATGGATGAGGGAAAAAAGTGGTTTCTTCTCCTGGTGAAGATGCCGTAGAGATTGTTGAAATAACAACAAAAGATTTAGAATATTACATAAACTTAGTTGATAAAGCAGTGGCAGGGTTTGAGAGGACTGACTACTATTTTGAAAGAAATTCTACTGTGGGAAAAATGCTATCAAACAGTATTGCATGCTAAAGAGAAATTTTTCGTGAAAGAAAGAGTCAATCAATACAGCAAGCTTCATTGTTGTCTCATTCTAAGAAATTTCCATAGCCACTCAAGCCTTCAGTAACCACCATTCTGATCAGCCAGCAGCCATCAACATCGTGACAAGCCACTCTACCAGCAAAATGATTACCACTTGCTGAAGGCTCACATGATGGTTAGCATACCTTAGCGATAAAATATTTTTCAATTAAGGTATGTATATTGTTTTTTAAGACATAAAATCTATTGTACATGTAATAGATTACAGTATAGTGTAAACATAACTTTTATATGCACTGGGAAACCAAACAATTCACATGACTTGTTTACTTCGATATTCATTTTATTGCGACAGTCTGGACTCCAGTCTGGAAACCAACCGCAGTATCTCCAAGGTTATGTCTGTATTCATCAAAAACATTAGCAGGAATGTTCTTAGCAACTCTATTTATAATAGCTCTAAACTAGTAACTACTCAAAAGTTTATCAATGGTAGAATGGAGACAATAAATTATGGTATTCCTACACAATAGATGCTGTACAGCAATGAGGATGAATGAACCACAATTACATAGAACAAAATGGATAAATCTCAAAAATATAATGTTGACAAAAGAAGCCAGAAACAAAAGAAGTATATATTACATGGCTGCATTTATATAAAATTCAAAAACAGGCAAAACTAACATGTAGTGTTGGAAGTCAGGATGGGGTCAATCTTGATGAGGGATAGTGGGGGTGCTTCGAGGATGCTGGAAGTTTTTTGTTTCTTGACCAGGGCAATGATTACACAGATGTGTTCATTTTATGAAAATTTGTTGATCTGTACACTCATGATCCTGCATTTTTCTGAATAAATGTTACTTCTGTAATGTGTTTTTTAAAAAAGAAGGGGTGAAGGCATGGAAGATATTACGGTTGATGATATTATGCCACTGACTGAGGAATATGACTAATTTCCCAATTCTTTGCACATGACTTCCAGAAAATGAAAGAAAAATGTAATAACTAATAGAACAGAAGTTGAAAGTAGACCTTTCAACTGATATACGGAGAAAGTGAATGGAAGAAGTGGCATACAACAAAATACACTTCTTTGGTTGAGCACACTTTCTTATTCTGCTTTTATTTTCTGTTAAAGTTTAATAGTGTTGAGAGTAGTAATAAACCATGATGTTAGATAACACTGAACTTATTGATTACTTTCAAAGAAGAGATTATGGGGCTTTTACTCTGGTTGCACCAATTCTCAGCTCCTTTAGGAATAGATCACACTATCCTGGAATGCTGAAATGAGCAACAAGAAAGAGAAACTCATTTTAGCTGTTCTTTTCCAAAGGTATCTTCCAACCCTTCCTCCAACATTGACTCAGACAACTACGGTGAAGTGAATGATTTCATCACCCAGATACCCTCTAAAGTGCAGATACAAGATATTACCACGGAGCTACACTGCCCACTGTGTAATGACTGGTTCCGTGATCCACTGATGCTAAGCTGTGGCCACAACTTCTGCCAGGCTTGTATCCAAAACTTTTGGAAGCAGCAAGCAGAAGAAACATTCTGTCCTGAGTGTAAGATGCTGTGTCAATATAGCAGCTGTACATTTAACCTTGTTCTAGAGAAGCTAGTAGAGAAGATTAAGAAGCTACCCTTACTCAAGGGCCATCCACAGTGCCCAGAGCATGGAGAGAACCTGAAACTGTTCAGTAAGCCAGATGGGAAACTGATATGCTTTCAATGCAAAGATGCTCGGTTGTCTGTGGGACAGTCTAATGAGTTCCTGCAGATCTCTGATGCTGTCCGTTTCTTCACGGTGGGTGAGCTCTGGGCCTTAAGCAATTCCTTAGGAAAGCTGGGAGAAATATTTTGCAGGGTTTCTTCTCTCCTTAGAAAGCTCAGAGTGCTCAGAAAATACAACATATCTTCCAAAGTTCTTTCTCTAGAGTTGCTGATTACAGGAAAGCAATAAAGGAGCTCTGGCCTACTCCCTCAATCAATCAAATATTTACCTAAACCCTGCCATGACAGCCTAGACACTATATAGAATATGGACACATAAGATATTGCTTTTGTTATAAAAGTCTTAAATTTTACTCAGATTTAAAATGAATCAAACAACAGAAGCAATATAAGATAATCTACTATTGAGAGCTAAATTTTTGTCACATTTGTAATTCACAAATACACAGAATTTCAGAGATTAGAGAAAACTGAAATAGTTAGGGGATACATGATGAAATAAAGCTTAAACTGGGAAATCATTTGAATTTGGATAGGCAGAAGGAAGAAACGAGTGTTTTAAGTGAGAACAATGTAAGTAAAAGCATAGATAGTGGGAACAGCATAACTATAGTAGAAAATGTATAGAGTTCTGTTACCTTCCTCAAACCCCTGTAGTTAGCTGATAAGAGGATAAAACTAAGTTTTCCTGCTGCTTGTAAGGTTCTTCACAATTCTTGGAAAAGGCAGGAACTACAATAAAGGGGAAAGGAGACTTCCACAGCAAGAGCTCGCTTTTTTTTCTCTGCCATCCTGGGGCTTTGGGGGAGATGTCCCTCATGGCCCTTCATCTCCCAAGTCAGCGTGGGTTAATTCTATGTGGTATTCCCAGGAGGAGCTTACCATCCAACAGGGTCAACTGGAGGCAACCCTGAAGGAGCTTCAGTCCCTGAGGAACATGCAGAAAGATGCTATTGCTGCTTACAAGGTGAGGAGCAGGGTAGAAGGGTTATGAGATAGAACTGGAATATACATTCCTTGTAACTTCAGCTATGTTCTATAGGTACCTTCCCACATACTAAATGGCATCTGGGCTATAGATGTAGAAAACAGACACTGCAGGGTGAAAAGAAATATGGCAGTGGAGTAGGTTCCAAATAGTTGATCAACAAAGAGAGCAGACCGACTTTTCCACTAAATATGCTGATCCTTTTGATGATTTAGTCCCTAGATGATTGTTGTAGGGTTTGTGATCTGTCTGATCTTTCCCAATATCTATGGCAAAATAGGAATTTATTTTTAAAAATCCACTAAAGATGGCTCTGTCCAAAGGAATATCTTTATTTTCTTTGGGCTCAAAACCAGGTATCTCTGAACCAAGTTCTCTCAGATTGCTGGCTTTTCTCATCTGATTTGATATTTCCTAACTTCTCCAAAACTAAATAAAACTACTGCTTACACTTTCAACTTCACAGGAGCTCTAGAACAACATTAATGGTTAGAGACTTGGCAAATCAGTTCCTGGGTTGGGAGATAAGTTGGGAGTTCTGTTTCTTCATTAATTATTCTGTGGAGGAGAGTCTTTGGTATTTGGCATAAAGAAGAAATATGTACAGTGAGGGAAAGAAGAAGGATAGATGGAAATAATGATGTCTCGAGAGAATCTTATTCCTATAAGAGTTCCTAGTTCAGCTATTACAGTCAACATTCATTCATTCAACAAATATTGAGTGGGTCAGGCATTATACTAGACACTATACTCCCACTATGACAGGAGATAGATCTTAATGAAATGATCCCGCCAAGAACAATAAAAATGACAACTGTGGTAACTACTGTAAATGAAAATACAAAGTGTATGAGAGCACATAAATGGAGAACCTAATCTAGAAGAATTACAAACTGAGAATTGTAAGGATAAATATTATCCCTAGCCAGGTGAACTGAGCAAGGGGAGTATGAAAGAAATGGCCTGGAGATGTTCTATGCAGAGGAAAGGGCATATGGAAACGTCCTGAGATAGGAAGTTAGTTGCTATATTAAGCAGAGAGAAGGCCAGTTAAGCTGGATCATGGTAGGCAAGATGAGACTGAAGAGGCAGATATGGGGCCAATCATGTAGGCCCTTGTAGATAACGTTAGGAATTTTGAACTTCATCCTGTGAATAATGAAAATCCATTAAAGGACTTAAACAGAACATAGCTTCATCTCATTTTGAAAATATCAGTCTGGTGGCTGTGTGGAGAAGGGATTGGAGAGAGACAATGACAAGGATCATGGTTAGAAGAGGGCTACTGCAGTGATCCCAGAAAATGATGATAGCTTGGACTAGAGAGGCAGTGGAGATAGAAATAAACAGCTTAAGTATATGCTTTGGAAATAAAAATTACCTGCATGTGGTGACTGGTTAGATGTGAGAGGTCAGTGAAGATATTAAATAGTCAGTGGTATATAGGAATCTGGAGCTCAGAAGTTGGTCAAGGCTGAAAAGAAATCAGCAAACAGTCTGTATTTAAAATTGTGAGAGGAGAGGCTATTACCTAGAAACAGAGTGTAGAATGAGAAGGGTAAAGAACTCAGGACAGAATATCAGGTAATCCGATATTTAGAGCTTGGTTACAGGAGACAGAACCAACAAATAAGACTGAGAAATAGTGGTGAAATAGGTAAAAGGAAAACTAGAAATATGTGACCTAGAGGACAGCGAGAGTTAAGACAATTTTAAGAGTGCAATTATAATGACTGACTATAGAATACAAGATGGATAAGAGGAGATGAATATGAGGATTCAATGAGACCCAACAACTGTCGCAACAGGGTCACCTGAGTAAATGAGCATAAAAAGTTTTGGACATGGTGCAATTGCTGGGAATGATAACATCCTCAGTGTGACTGTGAGAATGAGTAGATAAAGGTAAAAATCACTAGAAATGAGGATGAGGAACTGAGAAGCCAAGTTGTCAGGTGGCTCGCCATGAGGATATTAAGGTCACCTAAAAAAAGAGCTGCCAGTGTAGCAGTTATCAATTTCAGTGCTTCAGACATTGCTCATCTCTTGCTTCTTCTATATTATCCTGGCAGCAGGAATGGCATCTCCCCCAGTTCTGATTTCTAGATAAGGACAGTTCTTCCAACCTCTTTATGGACCCAGTCTAACAGCATCACCTGATAGATACTGGTTTGTACTTCTGGATAGGAGGGTATTATCATTCACTTAAAAATATTTGATTAACCCCACAGTCTTATTTAATATGACACTGCTTGCCACCTCAGTATTGCAATAGGAATCTAGAGACTTTTGATTATTTTGTGCTAAACCATTAACCCAGGGGAAAGGACGAGTAAGTCTCCCAAAGTGCTCCTTTTAATATAGTTGAATGTTGATACTCAGCCATTTGTATACATTTTCCTCTTATGGTATTTCCCAAGTTGTGTGAGTGTTGGTGGCGTGGGCCCCATCCCCAAGTGCTAGTTTCGGTAATTACCATGGTGATGATAATGGAGGTTTCTAGGAAAACAAGCTACATCTGCAGCAACACATCTCCTTGGAGTTTCTAAAGCTGCATCAGTTCCTGCACAGCAAAGAAAAGGACATTTTAAATGAGCTCCGAGAAGAAGGGAAAGCACTGAATGAGGAGATGGAGCTGAATCTGAGCCACATTCAGGAACAGTGTCTCCTAGCCAAGGAGATGTTGGTGAGCATCCAGGCACGGATGGAACAGCAGAACTCCTTCGACTTTCTCAAAGTGAGACTCCATACCAACATGATTATGGGTACAAAAGAGGGGGAAAGAGGGTTGGAAAAGGTGTAGAAGCAGGTTTTCCCCTCTAGGAGAGGAAAAAAACCTGCTGTAGTGCTTTCAAGATTCTCTGGGAGGAAAGCAGGAGGCAACTTTTGCCTTATACTCAGTTGAAAGCTTTACTTTCACACTCCTAGGAAAGAAGATAAAATGCCATTAAAATTAGTATGTTTTAGTATTTCTCCATAAAGAAACCTGAAGCTTTATTTCTCAAAATAAGAATGTTGCTGCCTAAGTTGTATCTTTCCTGGCTTTCAGCAATCACAAATTGACCTGTTTGAAAAGCTGTTTGCCAATCTTTGCCACCTGATGCTTTACCTCTAAAGTAGTATTGGTTACCTCCTCAGCACTCAGAAGCTTAATTTGCCAGAGTAAGGAAACGTGGCCTTGAGGCTGGAAAACCTATTGTGTTTTTCTCCTGATACTATGTGGCAGTATAGGTAAAAAATAACTTAACCTTAATTTCTTTCTTGTTCCCTGTAAAAGAGAACTCTAGAAAATCAGCAAAGTAAGCCAGTTTATCCTGGGATAGATGAAGGATACAGATAAGAAAAGGCATATGGAAGATGAGAGCGAGGAATTGGTGGTGATGGGATGGGGACTATCTTCACACGATCGCAGTACTGACAATCAAATTCTGGTGATGGTCAGTATCACCAGAGAAATTTCTGGAGCTGATGAACAGGCATCTAACCTTTCTATTTCTCCTTTCCTCTTCTAGGACATAACATCTCTCTTGGATAGGTAAGTGTTTCCCTGTGGTATTAATACCCTTCCTTTAGTCCTTGGAGAATGTCTAAGAATAAACGGTTTATGTCTCCTGCAGCTTGGAGCAAGGAATGAAGGTGCTGACATCTAGAGAGCTTATCTCCAGAAAGCTGAACCTAGGCCTGTACAAAGGTCCCATCCAGTACATGATATGGAGGGAAATGCAGCCTACTCTCTCTCCAGGTACTAGTGGGTAATAGCTATTGGCTCCTGGGGCTCCTAATTTATGTTTCATTTGTGGGACCTCTTCTGTGGACCTAATTAGTACTGTAGACAGGAGGAGGAGTGAAGTTTAGCCAAAATAAGGCTAGTTGGTATGACTAAATTTCTTCTTGTACTGTGACCTATGAATTTACAACATTTTACTGGTAAACAGAGTCTGATGTCAGAATTACTTCTTGGCCTATGATTTTGTTTGATTATTCTATCAAATGTGGCAACCAATACTTTAACCTGTTTTTTCTGAAACAGATAAGGCCCTGGAGCTTTCTCGCCCTGGAGGAAGAGGTTACTATACATACTTTTTGTATATAATAGGGTCTTTACAGTTCCTCTTGCGCTTGGTGTTCATAACAGAGTATAACATCTTAGGAGATTGTTTAGAGATCTTAAGCGCTTCAAAAGGAAAACCAATAATTTCACTAGATGTGCGTAATAAGAACACTAAGCTTTTGTCATCCTGCAGATACCAAAAGACTGAGCAGGACAAAAAAACACAAATGGCATTTCAAGAACATAAAATAAAATTCTAAATAAAAATCATTACAGAAATAAAGCTCTAGTTAAAGCTTTTTATAGACTTCCTATAGACTCAGTATTATTGTCTGTAGTTACTGATTTAATGAAAATCACAAGTCTATCCTTTTAATTCTTCCAGATAATTGATATTGAAAAAATCAGTTTACTGAGGTATAATTAACATAATAAAATTCACCAACTTTAACGTACAATTTGATGAATCTGACAAACATATACACTTATGTAAACATCTTCAAAATCAAGATACAGAAAATTTCTGTCATCCCAAAATGTTCCTGTACACCCCTTTGCAGTCAGTCATTTTCCTTCTGTTCTCAGCCCCTGACATACACTGATCTACTTCCCTGGTTTGTATAATTAATATCTTACATTTAGTGTGATACATTTTTTATAGTTAATGAACCAATACTAATACACTATTATTAACTAAAATACATAGTTTCTTTAGATTTCCTTAGTTTTTACCTAATGTCATTTTTCTGTTCCAGGATCCCATCTAAGGTACCACATTACATTTAGTTGTCATGTTTCTTTAAGCTCTTCCTGGCTGTGACAATTTCTCAGACTTTCCTTGTTTTTTGATGACTTTGACACATTTGAAGAGTACAGGTCTCCTATATTTGGTAGGATGCTATATTACTGCAATTTGTCTGATATTTTCCTCATGATAAGACCAAGGTTCTGAGTTATTGGAAGACTACAGGGTTAAAGTGCCATTTTCATCACATTATATCAAGCATACATACTGTCAACATGATTTATGACTGTTGATGTTCACTTTAATCACCTAACTGAAGTAGTGTTTGTCAGGTTTCTTCACAGTAAAGCTGCTCTCTCCCACCCTCCCTTTTCCATACTGTATACTTTGGAAGCAAGTTACTACCTGTGCGGGGAGAGGGGAAGGCACAGCTCAGTGGTAGGGTGCCTGCTTAGCATGCACGAGGTCTTAGGTTCAATCCCTAGTACCTTCATTAAAACAAATACATAAACCTAATTACCTCTCCTCAAAAAATTGTTTTTAAAAAGTTACTATGTGCAGTCCACACTTAAGGAGTGGGTAATTATGCTCGCTTCTCCTTAAGGGTGGAGTACATCTCAAAAATTATTTGGAATTCTGCATGGGAGATCTGAGCCTTCTGGATGGTAAATTTTTATTGGATGTCAAACATGATCAATTTTACATTGTTATTTGCTGAATTTTGTTGTAATCCTTTAAGCTCTATAGACTTAATTTGGCATTTAGTGAAGTTATTTGAAATAACTTTGTTCCTTTTGACAGTTTAAGTTTTGTTAAGTCTTTAAGCTTTGTTAGAGTGGTTCAAAAGCAGCCTTTAAACTAGGGCTAACTTTGCCCATTTTTGAAGGTATTACCCTTCTGAGTACTCTGTCTGATGTTCCACATACTGTAACATTTTCCCATTCTGACTGGCAGGATTGAAAACTATTCCCAGTTTTGTGTGAGCTCTAGAAATGGTTCAGTTTACTGCTTTCTCTGGACTTAACAGGTTTCACTGCACACATGTGGCAATACTCAGCCACAGACTTGAGAGAACCTGTTTGTAGATGTTTGGAAGTCTCTGTGTAGCTCCCTCCTCTGTTACTCTATTGTGCAAATTCTAGCTGTCTCAGGATCACAATAGTTTTCTTCCTGTACACTCTGCCCTGTAAAATCAAACTTCACTTCTAGCAATCTGACTTTTTCTTTATTTTTGCTGTAACTTTACATCTAAAAAAATCAAATGGAATTTATTTAATATATGGCTATTGTATTTATAATGTAACTGTGGTCAAACCTTGGTAAAATATAATTCATACTTCTTATTTCTAGGCCTCTGCTTATTGTGTAGGTTAATATTTTCTCATTTCCTGCCTTACAAATGAGGCAGTTGCCTTAGTGCAGGGGCTGGTACTTTTTCTGTAAAGGGTCAGATAGTAAATACTTTAAGCTTTGTGAGCTGTTTGGTTTTTGCTGAATCTATTTAACTTTGCCATTCCAGTGAAAAAGCAACTCTAGAAAATATGTAAACGAATGGCCATTCATATATTTCAATCAAACTTTATACAAAACAGGCCTGCTGATTGTAGTCTTATCAATTCCAGTGTAGGGAATCATTTAAACTAAAATAATTTTAACATATTTCCTTTAGTTTTGTGTGTATCAGTAAAATATCACCAAAGTTCACTCATTCATTCAACATACTCTTATAAAGTGCCTACTACATACTAAGCATTAAGTAGGACTCCAAGGATATAGAAATAAAAGACAGTTTCTGCTCTACAGGAGAGGCTAGAAGACCAAGTTAGAGTCCGTAGCAACCCTCTAGGTGAAAAGAATGAGAAAGAAAAATAAAGAATAGATTCCAGAGACAGAATTCCAGGAGCTGAAATGTACAGGACAGTAACTGAGAGTAAGGGACAGAGAAAGGTGATGTCAAGGATGGAAATATAGGAGATGCAGATTTTGGAGGGGGTTGATGAACTAGTTCAGTTTTGGTCATGTTGTGCTGACCTACAGGACAACTAAGTGAATAGATTCAAATGGGTGATTATTCTAACTGGAGCTTAGGGGAGAGGTCAGGACTGGAATAATCAGTATGAAGTGGGGGTAGCTGAAGCTATTGATGTAAATGGGATTTCCTAAGGAAAGTGAGAACATACAGTCAAGTAGAGAGCATGTTATAAAGAATGCCAACAGATAAATGAAACCCCAATTGGGGCAATGAAACCCCAAAAGGGCTTGAGGAATTCTGGCAAGAGAAATAAGAGGAAAACCAGGAAATGAAGTTGACATGGTATCTAAGGAAAAAGAGTGTCAAGGAGAAAGGAGTAGTCGTTCATGTCAAATGCAAAGATCAATTTAGAAAATGACTGGAAAAAAGATGTTTTTAACAATAATTGGTGACTTTCACAAGGGCAATTTCAAGAGTGGAATGAGTAGAAATTATTCTGTGTAAGGGTTCCATAGTAATTTGGAATGAGGCAGTGGTGAAGTGAGTAGATCATCCATTTGAGAACTTTCACTAAGAAGGGAAGATGTATGTGTGGAAGCAGAGACAAAAGAGGACTTTTAAAAACATATGGAAGGGAAGCAGCCTGTAGAAAGGCAGAAATCAACAGTATAAGAAAGGGAAAAAATGGTGGAAGTAGTAAAGAGTGAGATCTACAACAAAGAAAGGTATTGACTTTCCTCAGTTTCCTCTGAAAATGGAGAGGAGATAAAGATGGTAGAGGCAAACAATTTTATCAAATGGGGTTTGCAGTATGAGTGGGATGAATGGAGGGATTCCTATAAGATGTACTGTAGTTTCTCTGTGAAATAGCAGATGAAGTTTTCTGCCTGGGAGTGAGGAGGTAAGTGGTGGAATAGAGATTTGAGGAGCTGAAGGTTTGAAATTGCTGTTGTAAGGAACTGGAGAGGATTTGATTTGGAAAATAGAGGAGTTCTGGGCAGTGCTGATGGTAAAGAATAGAGTGGAAATAATGAATTTATAGTGGTTTCTGTATGCACAATTCTGTGATTTTTTTCCCCCAAGCAGTGGCCAGGAATTGGGATGTTAATTTGAATAGCTGAATAGACCAAGGTTGGAGAGTTGCATGGCAGACACTACAAGGATAGAAACATAAGAGGATAAAAGGTTAAGGTTATTGGCAACAAAACTGTCAATGTTAAACTGTTTAGGGAAGGATTTTAAGCCAAGAAGCAGATAGATTAGGATAATAAAGAGAAATCAGGTACTAGAGATGTTAATAAAGTCAAGCAATGGTATAGGGGGAGATGAAAGTGAGAAAGCTCAAAAAATAAAGAGTATGGCATATCTGAGTTGAAGATATTAGAGAATGAATAGCTCTTGATGGCTATGAGATCCAGAATATGGTCATTGAAATGGACAGCTGAAATGTCAAAGTCACTAGTAGTAAAGTCAAGGACCTGCAAGAATGGAAGAATAGCTATATCCAAAAGAAAGTAAGTAAGATGACTTGAGATAATGGGCTAGACTTGGGGTACAGGAGTAAGTTAACCCAAAGTGCAGGGGGTGTAATCGGGAAGTTGTACGTAACAGCATTGAATAGAGATAGAGGGTAATATGAAATGGAATGACAAGAACCTCAGATGAAGAGTGATTTCTTACATGAGGATGAGGAATAGAGTATAGATCTGGAAGTGGCAGTGGTGGTTACTGAATCTCTGGCATCTGAATTTAGAAAATGAATAGTCTTATGAATTTTTGGAGGCTTTTTTTAAAGTTTGTTTTTTGGAAGAACCAGCTGGGTTTATGTTAAATTAAGGAAGTAATCGGAGAATTCTGTAAACTGAGGATGCAGGAGAGTTCATTAGGGAGGTAGTTCCAAAGGGCAGAGTGGAAAGGGTTGGATGGGAACAGTGCGAGGATGGGTGAAGGCAGAAGAAGTAAAGAACAGAATAATGGGATAAGAGTACAGCACAGAATAAATCATTAGAGGAGTCTACATTCTGGGCATTGGCCAAGGATAACAGGAGTATGAGGCATGGTGAAATTAGCTGGTGTCAAGTTTTCAAATTGAACTCTAATTCAAGTTCATTTATTTTTTTAACAAATACTTATGTGAACACCTAGGAACAGTCCAAATTTTGAAGGTATATGGGGAAACAAAACAGATAAAGTTCCTGCCCTTCCAGAGATTACATTCTCATGGAAGAGACAGGCAATGAACAAGAAAATAATTTCACAAAGTGATAACCATTGTGAAGAAAATGAAACATGGTATACTCAATAAATAATTATTCATAAGAGAAGATAAAGCAGGATAAGAGTGCAAAGAGTGATAGATGAACATGCTATTTTAGATAGAATAGCCAGAGAAAAACTCTCTGAGGAGACAGCTCCCCTCCCACTACATTTTATTTGGAAATTTCTAAACATAATGAAAAGTTTAAATAATTTTACAATGAGTACTCCTATACCTACCTAAATTCTATCATTAATATTTTATTGAACCTGCCTGAACAAAGGCCTGAATAATGTAAAGGAGTGAATCATATGGGGACAAGGAAAAAAACTATAAAGTCACTGAAATAGGAATGAACTTGGTATGTTCAAGGAACAGCCAAAAGGTAAAAGTGTTTAGATCAAAGAAAACGAGGGGGTGAGTGATGGGAGATGAGGTCAGAGAGGTGGGTAAATCATGTAGGTCTCATTTCCTCTGTAAGGAATCTGGATTTTATGGATTTTATCCAGGTGATGGGAGAAATACGAGTATTCTGAGTAGGAAAACTAGATGATCTCATTCCTGTTATGGACAGAAAAGGTTGCAGGCAGGCAAGAGTGGAAACAGAACAGTTAAAAAGCTATTGCAGTAGTTCCAAGCCAGTGGTATTTTGGAAGTTATCTGTCTCTACATTCTGAGTAGGCTCAGAATATATTTTAAAGGTGGATTTGACAGAACTTACGGTTGGACTGAATATGGCATAAGAAGAAAAGAGAGGATGCAAAGCTGACTCCTAGGAATCTTCAGAGCCAGGACCAGCTCAGCTACCTGAAGGTGTCAGAAACTTGGTGATGAGAGCAGACTGGGGTTCTAAAAAGGTTAGCAGGACTTCCTTATGATACCTCTAAAAAAATTCTAGTTCTCACATTGGAAAGAGTAACAACCCAAGGTGGATGAGGATTTGTGTAAGAGATAAGATTCAGCCTATATGGGAAAATTTCAGGATTCTTCAAAGTCTCCTGTGGGAATGAAAAAATCCTTGGGATTATGGAAAAGACTCAGGCTTTTCTGAGAAGAGAGAGATGGATTGGACTGATCTTGTTTCCAAGGATAAATAAATCCATTAACAACAAAAGTATTCATATATCTTATCTGTGTCCATGATGTGAACATACATAGTTATTGTCTTTCCTTCATCAAAATTTGTGCCAAGGTTCTATTATCTCACGCCAGAATTTGAGTCACCTTCTTGCTGGTATGCTTTCAACCTCTCTTCATTTAGAAATTTGTCTTTATACTACTGCCCATTGATTTGTCTAAACCAATACTTGTCAAATTATGTTTGGTGAAGGACTAGTTTTTAAAATCTCAGCCTGCCATGGACTGATACATTTATAAAAGACAATATATATTAATTACTTGAAAAAGTGGAATTTAAAAATCAAAGACTAAAAAGTATAAGCCCAGTCTTTTAACCAAATCAACTGACATAAATTACTCTGTCAGATATCTATGAAAGAGTTTCCTTTCAGTTTTTGTACTATCTTGTCCCAGACTTGTAATTACACAGTTTGTGAACCACACTGTGATTATCAGTGGCATTAATCATTTCAGGCCTTAAAAGTCCCATTGTCTGTTAAACCAAATATAAACTGTGGTGGTGGGGTAATGAAATTTTCATCACATTGAGATTGCAATGCTCATGGAATCACAGGGTGAATGCATACAATGTAGTTGGGAAAACAGGTCTGGAGAGCTCAGGAAAGAGCCCTGGGATCATCATGGTTGAGCTTCATCAGTCTGTAAGTGGTCACTGACAAAATGAGTTTTGGTAAGTGGACTGGGGGAAGATACCTAGAGATAGAAGGGTGCCAACACTGAAAGAACCAGTCATTAGGAAGGAAAGGAGGAAAGAGAGAGGGAAAGAGCAAAGGAGGAAGGGAGAAGGGAGAAGGGAAGGAAAGCAGGACATATGGGCCTGGGAGATGTGAGACGCCCCAGAGAGGGGAGAGGCTAGGAACACAGCATGCTGAAGGTTGGCCAGGGGAGGGCTGTGTAGCTGCGTGACCCACCACACTTACATGCCATCAGTGATAGGAGAATATCCTGGCATTACTCCTGCTTCCAGAGCACAATGAGGCCCCTCAGCTACCACTCTTCCCCCTTACATGTTTAGGAAGTTGAAAGACATGCAAGCTACTGTTTTTAACCCATTCTTTTTTCTGTCTCTGTTTACCCAAAACATATTGATACATCTCATAGATGTTGCATCAAAATTGACATACTTATCGTCCTTATAAAGCTTTCCTAGGACACACTTACCTAATCTTTACCCTTTCAACATTTGTATTTTCTTATATTTATGAGTACAGATTTATGTTATTTGTATTTTTTACTAGAGCATAAATTGCTTTAGAGTACAGTCTGATTTTTACCACAAATATAAAAATGTCTAGAATATAATCACATGGATATCAAAACAATAAAACGTATAAAAGTAATTCCCTGCCTAAGAGTATATGTATATGGGGAGATAAAGCACTGGTGTCTATGTAAATACTGTCTATGGGAACCAACATTCACTCCTTTTACCCTACACCCTGCTTTCTCTTCTTTTCTTACCAGGACTATCTCCTTTAACCCTGGACCCTAAAACTGCTCACCCAAATCTGGTGCTCTCCAAAAGCCGAACCAGTGTATGGCATGGTGACATTAAGCAGGTAATGCCCGATGATCCAGAGAGGTTTGACTCAAGTGTGGCTGTGCTGGGCTCAAAAGGCTTCACATCTGGAAAGTGGTACTGGGAAGTAGAAGTAGCAAAGAAGACAAAATGGACAGTTGGAGTCGTCCGAGAATCCATCATCCGGAAAGGCAGCTGTCCTCTAACTCCTGAGCAAGGATTCTGGCTTTTAAGACTGAGGAACCAAACTGATCTAAAGGCTCTGGATTTGCCTTCTTGCAGTCTGAAACTGACTAACAACCTCAACAAAGTGGGCATATACCTGGATTATGAGGGAGGGCAAGTGTCCTTCTACAATGCTAAAACTATGACCCACATTTACACTTTCAGCAACATTTTCATGGAGAAACTTTATCCCTACTTCTGTCCTTGCCTTAATGACGGTGGAGAGAATAAAGAACCATTGCGTATCTTACATCCACAGTAATCTGTCATACTATTGTATAAATTCAGAGCGTTATTAAAGAGGCATTGAAATAGTTTACCAGTCTCACTGATTTCTTTTCCCAATTTATGGGGAACTCTCGAATGATGAAAAGAGGATTCACGAATTGAATTCCATTCTCAGAGTTCCAACTGGATTTCACTGGAGCTTTTCAAGATGTAGTTCTAATTTGCTGGGGTCTACTATGACACAGGGGCCACTCTCATGAGTGTGACCATCATTCCATTGCTACTGGAGCAAATTGTAACTTGAATTTTCGATGCTCACGAATCCTTTTCAAACATGTTCAGAAATTCTATCATCCTGTCTATATTCTCCAGCATAGTGACTCTCAATAGATTAATTTTTAGATATGTATTCATCTTCCTATTTAATTATCTTTAATATAAATTTTGTAACACATTTCTTTTCTGTAACTTGTTACTATAATTTTAAAAAACTGTTCCAGAGATTTAAAGAACAAAATAGGAAATGGTCTAGGCTTGTTTATAGTTTTATCTTGAATTCTCTCAAGATACTTTTTAGTCCAGTAAATCTCTGACTCTTTCTCAGTCCCTTTTTCTTGCTTTACCTATCTATGGGGCACTTGCTTTTCTGTATTCAAATACATTTATGTATTTTATCCACTTTTGACTATGTCCTTTAAATCATTCCTGCCTGTAATTTAAATATCAGTATATTTCATCTTGTCCTCTCCAATATACTCATCCTCCAACTTGTTCCTTCTAAGTCTCAAGTTCTTAGGATTATTGATCTCAGCAGTACCCCTTGATAAACCATCCCTATTTCCTTTCCCTGGAAGTCCCATCTATCTGGGTTTTAGTCTCTCTATCTGACAGTTTTTTTGGGGGGAGGGGGTAGGTATTTAGGACCTGCAGCATGGCCCTCTAAATTACAATTAGCACAGCACTTTTGGCAGGGTAAAAGCCCCCTATCCTATCTGTCATAATGAGAAGGAATGTACACACTACAGGTAATATTCATGTAGTGTTGGCATATATAATATACATACATTTATAGCTACTGATGGGTAAATAGTCACAATATGTTATGGCTACATTTAAGAAAATCCTTAAAAAAATTAATTCACTTCAAGCAGAGTGTAATGAGGACCTGTTTTGTGCCTGGAACCTTGTTAAATGATCTGAAGGATATAAAACAAGTATAAAAAGAAAAAATTGTTCCTCTCAAGAGGTTTAAAATAAATTCAAATCACCTAAAATCAATTAAATAAGAATTTCTAGCAAGTGGGGCCCAGGCATTTGCAGTTTCTAAAAACTCTCTAATGTGTGGCTAGGGCAGAGAACCACCGAACTAAAGGAGCATGATTTCTCTTTTTTTAATCTTAAAAAAATTAAACTTAGAGAAGAACTGCATATTTGTATGATAAACTCCCATATACTCTCTACCTAGATTACCAATTATTAAAATTTTGTCACATTTTCTTAGTCTCTCTCCCCACATCCACCCCATATGATTTTGTGTGTGTGTATAATTACTACTAATGTTATTTTTGCTGAACTGCTTGAGATTAAGTTGCAGGCATTATGATCCTTATTCCCAAATACATCAGCAAGCATCTTCTAAGAACCAAGGTATTCTTTTACATAATCACAGAACTAAATTATCAAATTCAGAATTTAACACCAACACAATAGTACTTACTAGCTAATAACATTTTATCTTGAATTATATATATAACTAGTTCATATTAAATAAGTAAATACTTGTAATGGTAGGGTTTTAGGCACTGTAGTACAGAATTTCAAGTAATATGATAAAGAGTTTGGGGGATAGAAGAAGAGGACCTAGTTAAGTCATACAGAATTCTAGATAAATGATATCTAAAGTCTGTCCTTGGGGACAGACAAGTGCTGTAGAGATCACAAAAAGAGGAGGTCAATCTTCACCAGAATAGGAAGAGAAAATTCTAAGGAAAAGATGTGATTAAGTTAGACGTAGTGAGAGATGAGTAGGAATGAATATAAATTTGGAAAATATACTTCTTAAAAATGATGTTTTGTGGTGATGGTTGCATAGCATATTAATATAATAGAAATGAGTGAACTCTAAACTTATAATGGGAAAATTTTATGAGATGTAAATTGTACCACAATAAAATTGTTTTTTAAAAAAGGAAAAGAAAAAAATGAATGTTTTATTCAGATCACCAGGGGAATTAGGACAGGCCACAAGTGTGTACATATTTTCCACTATCTGTAGGAGTCCACCTTAATACTTTCTCTGACATACTACCTCAGCTCTCCAGCATTTATTTTAACGTAGATGACACAAGTTTATTTCCTCACAGTTTTCCCAGATAATTGGTTATTCTATATCAAATGATTTGAACAATCTGTCTACTTAGAACTTAGATTATAATTAAAGGCAGGAATCCTTCTAATGAGTATGAATTATAAAACACCAGTATGGGACTTCCCTGCTAGAAATAGGCTCTGAATAGTATTCACTAAGAAGCGTGATCAGGGCTATCTTATATACTATTTTCTCTCAGACCACAGGAGATGAGGCAAATAGTGACAACAACAACAGAAATCCTTGTATGAAGTAGAGGATAAAGAGGCCCAATTGTGTATTGGAATTCACTGAGGTGAGAACCTCAAAGGAGAAAGCCTTGTAAAACACATACAGAAGAGTGTATGTAATGCATATGTACGGTTTAGGCAATAACACACACAAAAATTCATTAATTGACTGTCTAGCTTTGGAAATAGAACAGAATCAATACACTTGAAGGCCTCCTACTACCTCTCTCAGCCCTGAGGTAATCACTCTTCTACATTTTGTATATTTGATTTTTTCCTTTTTGCAAATAATTCATGGATGTATCTTTCTAACAAATGTACTGTTCAGTTTTTTCCATTCTACATATATAAGTATTCCTGAAAAGTATGGCTTCATCATGACTATTCTTTGAACTTTAAATGAGTGGAATCATGTATGTCTTCCTTAGCTTTTTAAAAATTCAAACTTATGTTATATTCCAGTGTATGAAAATCCAATAATTTAAATATCCAAACTACTGTTAATAGGTAAGAAGTTGTTTCTAGTCACTATTTTTTTCAGTTGTTGCTGTTGCTGTTGCTATTAGCAACAGTGTTGTCATAAACATTATTGTACATGTGTACCTGTAAATGGGAGCAAGAGTTTCTCTAGGTTTATATCTAATAAGTGCTGGTTCATATGGTATGCACATCTTCGAGTAATGATGAATTGTTGATCAAAGCGATTGTGCCGATTTACACTGCCACCAGCAGTGGGAGTGCCAATTCAATCTTTATCAGTAAGGTGAGTGCATAATGGTATCTCTTAGTTTTAGTTTGCATTCCCCTAATTACCTCTGTGGTTGAGCATCTTTTTATAAGTATCTTGGCCATTTAAATTTCCTCTTCTGCAAAATGCCTATATAGGTGTTTGCCCATTTTGCATCATATTGTGTCTCTTATTGATTCATAGGGTTATTTATATGTTCTAGATACCAATTCTTTGTTGGTTATTTGCACTGCAAAATATCTTCTCCTACTATTTCCAAAAAATCTTTCTCAGAGGCCAGAGATACTCTCCTGTGTTCTATTCTATGTTTTAAAGTTTTGCCTTTCATATTCAAGCGCTTAATTGTTCAATCAACTAGAAAAACAAGTGTACATTTGCATGTACCTAACAACATAATTTCACTATACATAAATAAAAAATTAACAAGAAGGAATTGAAAAACCCACAAATAAAGTAGATTTTTACCATGCCTCTCTCAGTAATGGATAGAATAAGACAATATGATTAACAAACTTGACTCAATGAACATATGTAGAACACCGTACCCGACAAACAAGAATATCCAACAGCTGCAGGACATTCTTTACAAACACACATGGAACACTGATCACATACTTCAGTCATAAAGAAAATTTCAACAAATTTTAAAGGATTATAATCACACAATCCATATTCTTTGATATTAATGCATTTAAACCAGAAACCAATAAAAACAAGACAACTAAATAATCACATGAATTTGGAAATTTAAAAAATATTTTAAATAATCCATAAATCAAGAAACTCAGTTGGAAATCTGAACATATTTTGAATTGAATGGTAACAGAAAAAGTGACATCTTTAACTGGCAAACAGTTTAAAGAAAATTTGCAGCCTTATATGCACATATTAGAAAAACAAAGGATGAAAATAAGCCATCTCTTTCAAGAAATGAAAAAAAGTACAGCAATTGAAAGCTAGAAAAGTAGGAAATTATAAGAGCAGAAATTAATGATATAGAAAAGAAATGTATGAGAGTATCAACAGTGTCAGAAGTGTCTGAAAGGCTAATAAAAATGACAAACCTTTGGTAAGACTAAGAAATAAGAAAGCACAAGTAATTAATGTCAGAAATGAAAAAGGAACCATTGCTACAGAACTACAAACATTCATAAATATTATAAAAGATTTTATGGTCAACTTTATATCAATATTTTTGAAATTTTAGATTAAATCGACTCAACACCAGAGAAATATAGCTTTTCTGTAAGGGGGTTTAGGGGTGAAACTGCAAAAAATATATATATATAATTTGACCACTGGTGATATATGACTATATTAAAGAATTATTATTTTTTAAGTGTGATAACGATGTTGTGTTATGTTTTTAAGAAGACTTCACCTTTTAGAGTCCAACTGACACATTTATAGATGAAATGATAAAACGGGTTTTGCTTCAAAATAATAACAAAGAACAATAACTTTAATACTCAGGGTTTAAAACTTACAAGCACAACAGACCTTCCTCCTCCGCCATAACAGGTAAATCTGAGAGGCTTCTCCACAATCCCAAGAGCCGCTCACCACAGACTAGTATCGACGGAACCTTCTTCCTTGTGCCTCAGGCTTTTCCCGCCCATTACTCTGAGAACCAATCATGGAGTGTGGCTTCGGACCTGGGGCCAATCAGCGATCTCGACTCTCGGCCCCCCCTCCCCCACATCCTCCCTTGTGAGGCGGCGCCATGTTTCAAGGGCAGCGGGGTTGGTTCTGCCGCAGCGTCAGCCGCGACCTGAGGCAGTTCTGGGGTAGGAAGCTAAGCGGAAGGTGTGGGTGATGTGGTACACCTCCCACTGGTACCTTGGCTCCAGGGTACTTACTAGGCTCACTTTGTGCCTTTGCCTCCGCAGTGGCTGAAGGGGGGACGATCAGTGACCCGAGGGACGCCGACTTCTTGTTCAGCTGCGATGCGTCACACCCGGACACGCTGAGGTACCTGAAGCCCACCTGGCAGTGCCATTTGGGTCATGTTGAGCCAGGAGTTGAAGACAGAAGTTAAAATGCACCAATAAATACTAATAATAGGAAGAGACTGGAAACGCCACTTTTTCAGTCCTAGACGTGCTTGGGGCGGGATGGCGGCGGCGGCGGGGTTAGGGGGCGGATGTGGAATAGGTAACTTTTCTCTCTCCTTTCTGTCTCAGTGGCATGGTCTTCTACCTAGCCCTCGAGTCTCTTCCTGAGTTCCAGTTGTGTGTGTTTCCAACTGCCTCTCCCACATTCATGTGGCGCCTTGGAGGGCCCTCATATTCAATATGGTTAAGTCAAATTTCCTGATTGCCCCTCATAAAACCTTGGTAGTTCCTTTTGAATAATAACTCCTACACCCATGAATCCATTAATTAATCCATGGCCAAACACCACGGATTGTACCCCTGTAAATGTTCTTTGTTCTTACTGCCACCACCTTAGTATACACTCTAAGTTACCTCATTTCCTATCACAGTAACTTTCTGAGAGGATGTTCTGCCTCCAGTCTACCTGTGATCCACCTTCGCATTGCTGTCCCATTGTGTTTACAAAACAGAAGTCTGATCACTTTCCTGGCTGCCCCTCCTCACTGCGCCAGTCTCCTGAATACCTACAGATAATTCTACCTGCTTCCACTCATTTATTTCTTTTGAAAGGTTGAATACATTCTTGTTCATTTCATAACCTAAAATATTTCCTTCCTTTCTCCTAGAATATATCAGAGTCTCGATTACATAGAAGATAATGCTACAGTTTTTCATGCCTACTATCTCTCTGCAGTAGCTAATGCTGAAATAAAAAACTCGGTGGCTTTAGGTCATTTCATTCTTCCTCCTGCATGCCTGCAAAAAGGTTAGTGAAGATCTTTCATCTAATCCCTAGATGGCCAAATTTAGCTGTATTACCCAACTTTACTGATCTTTGTTTTCAGTCAGAGATTTTTGTTTTGTATCAATTAATGTAAGTGGAAATGCATAGACTTCAGATCACATTTCCTTGGGTGTGTATACTAGCTTTGTTTATTGTTCATTCATGCATTCACGGAGCTGCTACTGTGTGCCATGTTTCAACCCAGGTACTAGAGATTAAGTGGTGAATAAGATAGACACAGATCTTGTCCTCACATTGTTCACCGTCCAACATTTACTAATTTTGTGACCTAGCAATTTCTCTCGAGTTCTTTTGAGGATAAAATGAGATAATATATTAAGTAGGCTGACCTGTGAGTATGCAATAAATGTGCTTTGCTAGTTTTGAATCTTATTATTTTTCTGGATTTTTTTCTGATATTTCAAGATTCAATGTGATAATAAACCCATGTGTTTATATTGTTCTTTATATTATTGAAAGCACTTTCATATTAATTATTTCAGCAACCTTGTGAAGTAAAGGGCAAGTAAATTGCTTCTGAGATTAGTTCTTTTAGTTTTCCCTTCTTGGAACACCCTTTCTTATCCTTTTCTGTCCAACTCCTGTCTTTTATGGGCTAACTTTAAATATTCCATTTTTGTAGGTCTTGCATTATTATCCAGTGTTTC